ATTCGAATTAAAAACCGATATATATATATATATTCTAAGTAATTGAGGAAAAAGTTTTAAGACTTTTAAAGATCTTTCCTACTAAACGAAACCATTTTCTAATGTGGTTTTTATTCTATATTCTATGATTATTGAAGACGAAATATTTTTAAAAGATATTTCTTATTTGATCCATTATGAATTTCTAACAATTAAACTAAAACAATTTAAAGCTATAAAAGAAAATTCTTCTAGGAACTCTTCAACCATTCCTTGTATCGTGCATTTCAACATTGCAAACGACTAACAACAGAAATGAAATCACTAGCGAAATCAACCCTACTTGAAAATATATACTTAACCAGTACTGTCGACATTTTAACAACACATGGCAACATTCATCAAACAGAAAGTAAATTAAATCAATGATATTTATGTGCAGTCAGAAAGGATTGATCGTTTCGATGATTTATCATTTATCATAAAACATTTATTTTCGAAAGATATTTATGTTTTCTTGGAATAAAATGGTTTTTGTCATTGCAAATCGAAAAAAATACATAAATTTATCTATCAATCAGCTGATCAAAAATAAAACGGAAATTAAATACTGATACAACTCAGAAAAAGAAATCGCAACTTGTGCCAAAAGATGTACACTTAAACAATCATGTCAATATTTGTTGTTATTTAATTCCAATTCTCGAAAGAAAAATTTTTGATTTACTTTAGTGAAATATAGGAGAATAATGACACAACAATGCTAACAAAAAACATGGTTATTACATCATGTAGGTTTACTCACTTTTGTTGAAAATATTTTTTAGGCATGTAACCTTAGCCATTAAAGATCAAGGAAACTTTGGATAGGTTATAGAGTTTCTCAGCTCGAGTTTCTTCTACAGTTTTTCCACATCTAGAACATAGTAGGACCAAACACTTAGTCATACAAAGTGGAATGCTTTCTCAAAAACATTTTCTAAGTTTGCTTTGCAAAAAAAAATTTTACTATTTGTGTCCGAAACATTTTTGCGGTTCTACAAGAGTTTCAATATTCGTCTAAAAGTTATTTTAAAGAGAAGTTTAAAACAACAATTAAACTATCTTCTATCAGAAACAGAGACTCAATTCGACGTCAAATAAATGTCAGTGCAATTCAATCAATATCTAATTGTGCACGAGTTGGCAGTAGAAAAAATATGAACTAACTTTCTAACAATGCATTAACTGTTAGAAGAACACGAAAACTAAACAATAAAAGAAAGCTCTTACACTGAATCAAATCTACTCAGGTCTAATGGTTCTATCACCTA